TCTGGTCAGGAGTTCAAGCCCCACCTCTGGAGTCAAGTCCCACCTCCTACCTCAATCTTGCTTCAACCAGATAAAGTTGAGTTCTGGACTTGCAAACACTCCTCAAGAACAATCATGCTCTCTGTGAGGTTTTCCCTGAATGTTCATCTCACAAGGCTAGCTCTCTCCTCCTTTTTTCTTTTTGTTGAGACAAGAGTCTGGTCTGTTACCCAGGCTGGAGTGCAGTAGTGTGATCTCGGTTAACTGCAACCTCTGCCTCCCAGGTTCAAGTGATTCTCCTGCCTCAGCCTGCTGAGCATCTGGGACTACAGGCGTGTGCCACCATGCTTGGCTAACTCTAAGGTTTGCAATTTTTTCTTTGCGGGGGCAGGGATGGAGTTTCGCTCTTGGTGTCCAGGCTGGAGTGCAATGGCATGATCTCAGCTCACTGCAACCGCTGTCCCCCAGGTTCAAGTGATTCTCCTGCCTCAGCCTCCCAAGTAGCTGGGACTACAGGCATGCACCACCACACCCAGCTAATTTTTTTGTAGTTTTAGTAGAGATGGGGTTTCTCCATTTTGGTCAGGCTGGTCTCGAACTCCCAACCTCAGGTGATCTGCCTGCCTCGGCCTCCCAAAGTGTTGGGATTACAGGCGTGAGCCACCGTGCCTGGCCAGATCTTTTATATATTTATATATATATTTATAAATATATAAAATAAAATTATATATATCTTTTATATATTTCTCACAATAATATTCTGAGAAGTACACTTCTTTTCAGAAGATAAACGCATTTAGGGAGGTAGCCCTTGGTAACTCACTGGAAGTTTTTGAAAAGGGGAGTGACAAGAGCAGAACAGTGATTTAGAAGCCTGATTTTAACTATAGTGTATAGAGTATATAGCAAAGGTGGAAACTAGGGGCTGGTAGACCAGATAGCTTCCAGCTATTATAGTTTAGGCTACAAGGACCTGAACTAGGAGGGCACATTAAGAATACAAGAGAGGTTCTCAACCATTTTTTCCTTCAACAATAAATTTATTCAAGGAATATAACATACATTCAGCCATTATAATGATGTCTCCATTTCCAACTCTATGTGTGGGAATTACTGTAGAGATGAATCTCTTCTGTGAGGTAGGAGGCAGGATTGACCTCCAGAGGCAGGGCTTGGACACTGGACAAAATTGAGGACTAGCTAAAAGAGGGACAGGGCGGAAGCAGTTTTCGATAAGTCATGCCTCCCAGTGTGCTCTGTGCCATGTCAGTTTACCATTGCCACAGTAACACCAGGGAGCTACCATCCCTTTCCATGGCAGTGATCTGACAACCCAAAAGTTACTACCCTTTCCCTAGAAATTTCTGCATAAACTACTCCTTAATCTACATGTAAATAGAAGTAGGTATAAATATGACTGAAAATCTGCCCTGAGCTGCTATTTCTGCAGGAGCAGTCATGGAGCTGTAATAAAGCTGCTTTCTTTTACCACCAGCTTGACCTTGAATTCATCCCTGGGTAAAGCCAGGAACCCCCAGGCTAAGACCCACTTTGGGGCTCACCTGTCCTGCATCAAATCTACATAATTTAGGCTTTGTGGTGGTCAAGAAGTAAGATTAACTCAGTATTTTACACAAGCTCAAAACTTGATAGTCATCCTTGACTACCTCTTTCAACGTTGCCCTCCATATTCCTTTGGCCAACAATTCCTGCTGATTTCACCTTCTTAATGATTCTCAAATTTACTCCTCTCTCTAGTTTAACTGCCATGGGTTTCTTCAAAAGTTCCCTGACTCCTGCAGGCAATGTGAGGTGTCTTTCTTCCGCCTTTCTGTCATATTTTGAGCATAACTTCATTGTGGGACTTAGAATATATATTCTCATTACATTGGAATCATCTGTTTATACATGCTTCTCCATTCAACCATGATATTCTTTCTTTCTTTATTTTTTGGCACAATTTGACCTTTCAACGTTATCCAACCAATCATGATATTCTTAAGGGTAGTTTTAAAAAGAAAAATCTTGTATCTCTAGTGCCTAGCATATGATAAGGCTCAACGAATGTTTGAGGAAGGCAAATGACTTTGCTATTTTTAGCCCAATTGGCAGGATAAGTGCCACATTCACATTCACTGCATTCTTACTATGTATCAGGTATTTGAACAGAAAGATGAGAAAGAAATAATTTTTGCATTGAGTACATGGACACTAAGAAGGGAGCAATATATACCAGGGCCTACCTGAGGGTGGGAAGAGGGTGAGGATTGAAAAATTACCTCTCAGGTACTATGCTTATTATCTGGGTGAGAAAATAATCTGTGCACCAAACCCCTGCAACATGCAATTTGCCCATGTACCAAACCTGCACATACACCCCTTGAATCTAAAGTAAAAGTTGGAAAGAAAAAAAAAAAAAAAGAAATAGTTTCTGTTTTGGAGGAGCTCGGATATCAGCAAGGGACAATATAATCATTAAGAGCACAAACTAACTGTGTGACCTTTTATCAATTATTTAATATCTCTGAATCTCAGTTTCCTTATCTGTAAAATGAAGCCTGTTATATATATTTAAATCCTTACAAGAATTAGTAAAATAAGCTATAATGCAATGCAATCTTACAAATTCCTGTAATTCCTGTAAGGATTAAAAGAACTATTTTTTAGCACTTAACACAGTGACAGGCATAGTAGACACAGGTTGTTATTATTAACACTGATGAGCCTAGCAGAAGAATACCATAAAGCAAGTTTTTTTTTTTTCTTTTTAAAGAGGGGGTCTCACTCTGTTTCCTAGGCTGGATTGTAGTGATGAAACTGCCATTGTAAAATTATAACTGAGACAGTGAAAGACATCTGACCTCACCAACTCCATCTTGCGTCTAACCTCCATGCTGTCCTTGTTCACTCCTGGGCATAGGCTGAACTACCTTTGGGAGGAACTTTTAGTTTACAGCTGAGAACAAAGACGATTAACAGCCCTTTCCAAAAACAAATCCTTTTCTTGCCTAAAAAACAGATCAATGCTTGAGATATTTTTTAGAGCCTACAAAATGGATCAGCTGGCACCACCCAGATAGGTAAACTGGCTCATCTGATCTTGAGGTCCCAACCCAGGAACTGACTAAGATTCTGACCCTCCTCAAATTGCTCCTGGGAATAACACTATTGTAAAGCCTAAGATCAGGATTGAGATATTTGTCAGACCCTGAGAAATGGATCAGCTGGCACCACCCAGATCGGTAAGCCGGCTTATCTGATCTTGGGGCCCCAACCCAAGAACTGACCCAGTACAAGATAGCTTCCACTTCCTGTGATTTCATCTCTAACCAACCAATCAGCACTTCTGACTTAACTGGCTGCCTTCCCAAGCACCAAATTGTCCTTAAAAACTCTGATCCCCAATGCTAGGGGATACTAATTTGAGTAATAATAAAACTCTGGTCTCCTGCACAGCCAGCTCTGTGTGAATAACTCTTTATTGTAATTCCCCTGTCTTGATAAATCAGCTCTGTCCAGGCATCTGGCAAGGTGAACCCTTTGGGCAGTTACAGCGACTGTCCCAATCACAGTTCACTGCAGCATCAAACTGAAGTGGTCCTCCCACCTCAGCCTCCCAAATAGCCAGAATTACAGGTGAAAGCCACAGAGATCAGCAAAGGAAAGTTTTTCGGATCACAGCCATTGGGCACAGAAAATGACTATGTACCTTCACAGTGAGGCAGGAAAGTCTTAAAAGTCAAAGCCTTAGGAAATGTCTTAGAGCCGCTGGGCACCATGGCTCACACCTGTAATCCCAACACTTTGGGAGGCCTAGGCAGGCAGATCACAAGTTCAGGAGTTCAAGACCAGCCTGACTAATATGATGAAACCCCGTCTCTACTAAAAATGCAAAAAATTAGCTGGGTGTGGTGGCATGCGCCTGTAGTCGCAGCTACTCAGGAGGCTGAGACAGGAGAATCGCTCCAACCTGGGAGGCAGAGGTTGCAGTGAGCTGAGGTTGCGCCACTGCACCCCAGACTGGGCGACAGAGCGAGACTTCGTCTCAAAACAAAACAAACAAAAAAAGGTGGTGGTGGTAGGAAGAAATGTCTTAGAGCCTTGAAAATCAATGAAGTCTTAGACCTGGGGAGTCAAACCTCAAATACGACAGCAGCCGGAAATTTATTCTATCAGAGGTTGGGAATCACCGGGGAGCTTCAAAGGCAGATCAATGGCCAGGTCCCAGCCCCAAACTCATCAGAATTTCTAAGAGTTGGTCTCCAGCGTAAGTACGATTTTACTTCTCCTAAAGTGATTCTAATGTCCAGCCGGGGTTGAGAACCACTGCTATTCTAAACCAATGAGGGCAAGATGGGAAAACAGAACTGTCATTTCCTATTTCGTTTCCTCGATTGTTGCAATGGAATTTATCAGCTTCAAAAGTCCAGAATTTCATGTGAGATTTTGCAAATTCTAAAATGTTGGCAAGTAATTAAAAAAAAAAAAATTCGGATCAAAAAAAAAAAACATGGATTTGGACCCTGCTGGGTGTGTCACTTTTTTTATTTTATTTATTTATATTTTTTTATTTTTAAATAGAGATGGAGTTTCACCATGTTGGCCAGGATGGTCTCAATCTCTTGACCTCATGATCCACCCACCTCGGCCTCCCAAAGTGCTGGGATTACAGGCGTGAACCACCGCGCCCGGCGGTGCGTCACTTCTTAACCTTTCTTGCAGTTCAACCTCAGCTTTGAACAAAACCTGATTCTGAGAAGTTAAATAACTTGTCCGCGATTACACAGCCAGTCAGAATAAGAGTTGGGTTTAAAACCCAGTTCCTCCGAATTTAATTAATGTTCCTCGTATGTCAAGGAAGGAATACCTAAAGATGGGTTTTAAAAATGGGCAAGAGGAACGCGAAGTTACAGCCAGCCATGATCGCAACCACGCATGCGCCTATTCCTGGCAGCGTGGCGGAAGAGCAGGGCAGGTTAAAGGCGATGAATTACGACCTCTGCTGGCGACGCTCACGACTCCTGCCGTAAAGGCCGTGTGTTGCGCCTGCGCACCTTCTTTCCCTTTCGGATTTCCGACGCGGTGGTTGCTGTAAAGGTTCCTACCAGCGCCACACGGCCGTCGCCATGGTGAAGCTGAGCAAAGAGGCCAAGCAGAGGCTGCAGCAGCTTTTCAAAGGGGGCCAGTTTGCCATCCGCTGGGGTTTTATTCCTCTTGTGATTTACCTGGGTCAGTGAGAGAAGAACCGGGAAAGTGGTGGGAAGAGGGTGGCGGAGACTGCGGCCTCATTTTTGGCCATCGGGGGAGGGAGAGGAAAAACTGGGGATACCGCCGTTCATGGCCCTTGAGGCTGTCTGATCAAGTGGGGCCGATCTTCCCTGAGTTCGAGTTCCCGTTCTATCGCTTTATAGTTGCTTGGTCTTTAACAAGTCTTGCAATCCCTCCTTTTGTATTTTTGCATCCTTAAAGTGGAGGTCATACTTCTCGGGCTTGTTGTGAGAGTTGGATGACCCCAGTGGATGTGAAAGCGACTAATTCACTCTTTAGCACTAGGTGGGTTCTCAGGGTGTTCGTCCTCACCTCTCCATGTGGTCCTAAGTGGAAAGAGGCCTGTTCTGGGAATCTAGACACCTCGTGAAAGTACCACTGCCATGAAAGCATGGTTATAATAGTCTTTGGATGTCTCTGCTTTCTTACCTGAACAATGAAGGGTTTGGATGATTTCTATTACTGGCCCCATTTTACAGGTGAGGAAACAGCCATAGAGAAACTTTTTTGCCGTGGTCGCATAGGTGTGCTGAGTGTGTTATGGGCTCAGGCAGTGAGGCATCAGAGCCCATAGTCTTAACCACTATAGTGTACTTTGAGGATTTGGGGTTTTTTTGATTTTTGTTTTTGAGAGAGTCTCGCTCTGTCACCCAGACTGGAGTGCAGTAGCGCTGTCTTGGCTCTTTGTAACCTCTGCCTTCTGTGCTCTAGCGATTCTCCCTTCTCAGCCTCCCAGGTAGCTGGGACTACAGGCTCGTACCACCACGTTCGATCACTGCAAGGATTTGTAAGTGGCCGGGCAAATATTTTTCAGTTAGGGCTGCACAATGGGACCTTATTCTGTAGATTTTTCTTTTCTCCTTTTGTTTTTTCTTTTTTGAGACATAGTCTCGCTCTGTGCCCTGGCTGGAGTGTAGTGGCAAGATCTCTGCCCACTACAGTCTCTGCTTCACGGGATCAAGGGATCCTTCTTCCTCAGTCTCCCAAGTAGCTGGGATTATAGACTTGCAGCCATCGATAGCGGCTAATTTTTAATTTTTTTTAGTAGAGACAGGGTTTTGCTATGTTGGCCAGGCTGGTCTCAAACTCTTGGCCTCAAGTAAGCCTCTCCCCTCCAACCCTCCCACAGCCTCCCAAAGTGCTGGGATTACAAGCATGAATCACCGCGTACAACCTGTAGTTTCTTCTTTCTTACTTTATTTTTTATTTTATTTATTTTTTTGAGACAGAGTCTCACTCTGTTGCCCAGAGCGGAGTGCAGTGGCGTGATCTTGGCTCACTGCAACCTCGCTTCCTGGGTTCAAGTGATTCTCCTGCCTCAGCCTCCTGAGTAGCTGGGACTACAAGGCCCGCCACCATGTCTGGCTAATTTTTTTCTTTTTAAAAAATTTTTACAAAAAAAAATACAATCTCATAACGATGCGGTGGTTGCTGTAAGGGGTCCTCTCTGTGCCAGACAGCCGTCGCCAGGGTGAAGCTGAGCAAATAGGCCAAGCAGAGACTGCAGCAGCTCTTCAGGGGGGCCAGTTTGCCATCCGCTGGGGCTTTATCCCTCTTGTGATTTACCTGGGTCAGTGAGAGAACCGGGAAAGTTTAGAATGGCAGTAGTTCTGAACCCTGGCTGTGCATTAGAATCACTTTAGGAGAGGTAAAACCATACTCACACTGGAGACCTTCTCCTAGAAATTCTGATGAGTTTGGGGTTGGAACCTGGCCATTGATCTGCCAGTATGTTTTCACCATATTGGCCGGCCTGGTCTCGAACTTCTGACCTTGAGATCTGCCTGCCTCCCCCTCCCGAAGTGCTGGGATTACAGGCGTGAGCCACTGCGCCCAGCCAATTTTTTCTTTTTAATTTTATTGTCCCACTCAGGCAGTTTGGCAAAAGAGAAAGAGCAGATATGTTCATCCCAGCTGTGTCAGTTTGAGCATATAGTTTGACAATTCTAAAACTCAGTTTCACATTTTAAAATACTCTGATTTTAACAAGGTGCTGCTTCCTGTTTGATTTAGGTGTCCTGTGTTGTATAAGATAAAGTACACTGTGTGGCTGAGCAGCTGTGGTTTCTATTTCTCCATGAGTTGCAAGCCAACTGTGATAACCTGGGAATATAGAACTCAAAAAAGTCTTTTTCCTCCCTATTTTAAGTGCAAGTTTTTTTTTTTAAAAACATTACTTTTCTAGATTTTAGTGACTTTGTATGGTTACCAAGGATTAGAGTAAATATGACAGACAGCTGGTGTTTTCACCACTATTCTTGCAGCTCCTCCTCCCCCCACCCACTTATTCCACTTGCTGATGGAAGGGCCTCCTCTGGCTGGGCAAACACTGGGGTTAGCTCACCTTTTAGCTAAGAGAGTTGTGGAAGCTTGATTCTTCCCCTTTGTGCCACCTTCTTTTTTCATTGTGGATGCCAGGTCCTATTTTAGCTTGCTCTTGCTTTTTGTGTCCCTGTGGTTCTTTGCTTCTCTGTCTTTTCATCAGCTGTTCCCTCCTCCTCTCTGTTTTGAGATTGCTCTTCTATTGCTAGAAAGCTGTAGCTGGTTGCTGCAATCTGCATGCCAGAGGCATTGGTCTTAAGAATGGATAACGCATTCCTTTTCCATACTAGAGTTTATTTTTCTTTTTACACATACTGGCTATGTTCCCCTCCTAGGACTACCATTATGGTGATTTTCACCCCAACATTCAATTCAGGTTATACGAGATTAGTGTTAAGACTCTCTTTCCAGTACTTGTTTATCATTGTCTTTTCCCTCATGCTGTATATTTAATTTTATGTCTAAACCGTTCCCATGTTGAAGTAGAGACAGGGTCTTGCTGTGTTACCCAGGCTGGTATTGAACTTCTGGCCTCAAGTGATCTTCCTCCCAAAGTGCTGGAATTACAGGCATGAGCCACCACACCTGGCTCCAAGTTCTTTTACTTCCTCTACCTCAACTCACTAAAACCAGCAACTGCAAATTGAACTTTTTATATAATTCAGGTTCAACCGTAACTTTTAGTGCTTTGGGGAGTACAGTGGTATAAAATATGACAGGCAGTGACACAATAATAGAGAATCTATCTGGACATTTACTAACAAAAATATATATATATATATTTTTTGACGGTGTCTTGTTCTGTCACAAGGCTGGAGTGCAGTGGCATGATACTGGTTCACTGCAACCTCAACTTCTGGGTTCAAGTAATTCTCCTGCCTCAGCCTCCTGAGCAGCTGGGAATACAGGCGCCTGCCGCCACACCCAGCTAATTTTTTGTATTTTTGGTAGAAATGAGGTTTCACCATATTGGCCAGGCTGGTCTTGAATTCCTGATCTTGTGATCCACCCGCCTCAGCCTCCCAAAGTGCTGGGATTACAGATGTGAGCGGGTTTTAATGAGCCACTTGTTGGAAGACCATTTTCCATGCTCTCTTGCATTTCTGCATATATTATGAGCAGAGGCTCTGATGATCCTTTGTTCCATGTTATCTTTTGAGGGTGTTTGTAGAACAAGCAGCCTTGAAAAATAGTACCTCCAGTCAGAGCAAAGGGAGATATGCTTACAGCCCATTATAAAAGATTCTGGTTCCCTAAACTCAGGTTAGTCTCCTGCAGTGCAATCCATGACATGTGCAGGTGTCATCTGAACTTCTTTGCATGGAAATTGAGAGTTGAGGAACTGAAGCAGAAATGATGCTCTTACAATCTATTGCTGGGAGTAATAAACTGTTCTTTGTCTCTGACTTAGAATATTGCCTATACCAACATTTCTGAAACTTGCAGGCCAGTTTGTTATCTGCTAAATAAGATAAAACTGCAGACCCCTCATAGTTCTTAAAACCTTTCTGACTTAATCATTTACTTCAACAAGTGAGCATATATGTCATCAGGTTAATTTATCAATATATTTTAAACAGTAAAAGATAGACTTAACCATACTTGTCATGAGTTGATTTAATTAGGTTGTTAGATAGTAAGTATTGAATGATATCCATCCCCTGCTGCCTCACCACCACCCCCACCCTGCCCTTTTCTATCATTGGTCTTTGTTTTATAAAAAGAGAGGTTTGTGGGGGATAAAATATCCTCACTTGTGTTTTTTTTAAAAAAGTTTAGTAGTTTGTTTTTCTCCAGGCATGGTGGTTCACGCCTGTAATCTCATACTTTGGGAGGCTGAGGTGGACAGATCACTTGAGCCTAGGAATTCAAGACGAGCTTGGGCAATATAGTGAAAACTTGTCTCTAGAAAAAAATTAAAAGTTTAGTTGTTTGTTTTTCCAAATATCAGTTTGCTCTTCATAGTCTTTCATCCAGTATAAATTGAGAGTTGTGGTATCTTATTTCTCAGTAATAACTAATAATGAAAGATAGAGCATGCTAAGGATAACTGTGCTAATTGTATACGTAACAGGAATAATGGCCATGTGTGCTGGCTCACTAAAAACGTTGTTTGTTTTGGTCTGGGCATGGTGGTTCACACCTGTAATCCCAGCACTTTGGAAAGCTGAGTCAGGTGGATCATTTGAGGTCAGGAGTTTGAGACCAGCCTGGCCAGCATGGTGAGACCCTGTTTCTACTAAAAATACAAAAAAATTTAGCCAGTCTTGGCATTGGGTGCCTGTAATCCTAGCTACTCAGGAGGCTGAGGCAGGAGAATAGCTTGAGCCTGGTACGAAGAGGTGTTGCAGGCTGCAGTGAGCCGAAATCATGCCCACAGCACTCCAGCCTGGGTGACAGTGAGACTCCTGTCTCAAAAAAAAAAAAAAGAGTAAGATAGCTTGTTCTTTCTACTGATTAGTCCTGGACATAATTTCATACTGTAGTGAAAACTGGAGACTGTTCTGTAGTGCAGGTAAATCTAGATAGTACTGGTTGATTCAGATATCATTCTATCTATCCTAGGTTGAATTACAAAGAAGAAAAAGTCTTGACTGTAAACGTTTCATATGCTGAGGTTTTAAGGTTTTAATTAATATTTTTTCTTTCTGTCTCCTTGATTCAGGATTTAAGAGAGGTGCAGATCCTGGAATGCCTGAACCAACTGTTTTGAGGTACTGCTATTAAAACTAAACATTTCAGGGCAAATATTCATACAGTAGTACTGAATCAATAGGATATAAAAGAGTAGTAGTGGCAGTCATTGAAATCGAGCTTTATCAGTCAGTATAATTTTGGGCTATTGGAAAACTGCAGCTACTTTCTCTTTCCCCTCCCAATTTGTATTTACTATACCATGTTATAACTATAATGAAGCATATTTTAACAAGAAACAATTTATTATCCTACCACTTTAAAATGTGGAAGAGTTTTAAATTTCCCATATTCCCATCTTATCCTCATTCAGATGAATACATCCTTGTATGTCATTCTCACAAGGGTATGCAGGATTTTGTTTTCACCTAAAATTTGAGTTGCTGTCCCATATATTTTCCAGTTGTGGTTTACCTAGGTTTTTCAATATTTCAGTATTTTATACAACAATGTAATTAACATTTGGGTGGAGTGTGGTGGCTCACATCTGTGATCTCAGCACTTTGGAAAGCCAAGGTAGGAAGATGGTGGGAGGATTGCTTGAGTCTAGGACTTCAAGACCAACATAGCGAGACCCCCATCTCTAACCAAAAAAAAACCTAAATAAATAATTAACTTTGTATATATGTAGCTTTTATAGATTTTAATTTCCTTATAAATTCTCATAGGATTTATAAAATATATGAACATTTATGGCTCTTGACTGCCAAATTCCTTTCTCAGAAACAATCTTGCTGGTATTGGTAAGCACTTGTGAAAATTTCACACACAGTATACATATTCATACACACATGTATGCATGTATATGCATACTTGTGAAAATTATATGTATAGGTATAATTTCAAATAGGCAAGTTTGCTCTGGAGGAAGGACTGATACTTAATGGCACTGTGATGACCATGACTACTACACACTAGTGGACTGGATTTCTGCTTGATCCTGTCTCTTGTGGGTTGCCCTAACAGACTTTTCAGTGACTGTTCTAGGGTTTCATTTATTTTCTTCAAACTTCTCTAAGCTACATTTTTCTAGAGTGCGCAGAAAATACTTTATTCACTATCACCTTCAATGTGTCAGCCACTGCTTTAGGTGCTTTTTACACAATGTATCTAATTGTCCCTTCAGTCCTTCAGAGCAGGTTATACAGTTAGTAGGTGGTAGAATATGTTCTATTTCTAAAGCTCACTTTCCACTGGGTCATGTGACCTTCCCCAAGTAATTTTACCTCTGCCTTTACTTAGCACAGTGCCATCTGATACGAATTTCCTCTACCACATCTGCTTTGCCGTTCTCTTCTTTTTCAGAGGGAGGTCTTTTTTTATTCTCAAAGGGTACTACAATATGTGCTTTCAACTTGTTCACTTCTGCAGTTACTCTGTTTTCCCTGATAAAGTTCTTTAACAAATGGTCTTCACTACTTTCTTCCCCTCCCTCTCTTCCTTTAACTGTTTATGGCATGACTTTTAAAAACTGTTTTCAGAGATTCCCCACTAAGTCCTTTATTCTTAGCCCTTACTCTATTTATTTCTGTAAAATAGGGATTGAGGTAATATATCTGCTACTTACTAGTTAAGTGGCCTTGTCCTTAAAGAAACATTACCTTGGGAAACAGAGAGGACTACTGAGTCAAGTTGTGTGGAGATTTTCTAAGTATTGGGAAGTACCATCAAATACCTTTCTCCAAGAAGCCATTAACCTTTCCAAGCTGTCATCTCCTCTTTTATCAGTTGGGGATAATAATACTTATGTAATGAAGTTGCCATGAGCATTGAATAAGATTATTATATTTGAAGTATTAACAGTATTATCAAGTAATATGTGATCAGTAAAATATTAATCATAATTTTTAATCTTTCCGATGTCATCTTCTTATCCCCATTTCCTTATCCTATGAGAACAATGCTTTGGCTCTATGATACTGCATGCTAAATCTCAGAATAAACTATGTATAGTTTTATGCCTTTGCTCCTATATTTGTGCTTCTTTAGTCTGGAATTGATTTTTCCCCTTAGTTTCCACTGGATGAAAACCTGCTTTTAGAAAAGCCCAGTCTCAAATGTTGCCCCTTCCGTAAATCTTTTCCTTTCCTCCTAGCTAAAACTACTCTTTTTTTGTAATTTTTAATTTTTATATTGCCTACTCTGGTCTCAAACTCCTGGGATCAAGTGACCCTGCCGCAGCCTCCCACAGTGTTGGGATTATAGGTGTAGGCCACTGTGCCCAGCCCCATAGTATCCTTTTGTATCTGTCATTTTCTGCCTTGTATTATGCTTGTGGCTATAATATATTTTGTCCCATAAGCACCTCAAGTAGTTGCTCAACAAGTATTGAATTAACCTGATGACCCTCATTTCTTGATAGTCTTTTGTGTTTTTTTTTATGTTGTATTTTAATTTTTTATAGAGACAAGGTCTCACTGTGTTGCCCAGGCTGGTCTTGATCTTCTGGGCTCCAGTGATCCTCCCACCTGGGCCACTCAGTGTGCTAGGATTACAAACATGAGTCATAACACCTGGCCATCTTGGTCCTGTGGACAGGAATTGATAAAGCATTGCATCTTGTACAAATTTTAGGCTGGACCTGCATGCTGGGGAATAACATTTTTTTGTGTGTCCTGGGTGATTTAGGATATAGAAGTAGGGATAGAATGTGTCTTTCTGTTGTCCATTTTTGGGGCTGCATTTATCCCAACAAGATTTGAACCTTCAACGACTAGATGAAGCATCCCTGTCCTACCGCTTTTTATTTCTTCAACTTACCGTCTTCTCTGCTTCTTTCCTTCTTGGTGCTAACTCTTGATTTTTTTTCCCGTCATTAAGAGCATCTTCTGCTTTCTTTCCAGAGGTATGTGTGTTTTAGGAAATAATTGAGTGAGTGCCTGCAAAGGGTTATTGAGTTACAGAATTTCATGTATTGTGCAACATAAAATTTATTGTTTATTAATATAGTCTATTGTTTCTACATACATTTATTATTTATATAATACATATGTAAATAATACAGTTAATGATTTACCAGTTTGTTTCCCTTGCCAAATTGTTGGGTTCTTTGAGGTTAGGCCCACGTTCATCTTCGTATCCTCTTTTACCCAGGATGGCTAATTTTTTTTTTTAAATTTTAATATTTGACCTTCTGAAAGGATGGCTCATTTTATGTGGTCAACAAATGTTGACATGAATGCCTTATTCAGAAGTACTTTAATATACAGGGGGCGGTGTCATAGTAAAACATTTAGGGAAACTATGTGAATATCAAGGAAAGAGAATCATTTCCATTATCTGTATAAGGCTGAGCTAGATTTCCTTTTCATATTTTTGCTGCTCATTACCATAGAGGAAGAGACCTTCATACATGAATTTATTTTATTTTTTTGGGTTTTTTTTTGAGACAGGGTCTCACTCTGTCACCCAGGCTGGAGTGCAGTGGCACAGTCACGGCTCACTGCAGCCTTGACCTCCTGAGTTTAGCTGGTCCTCCCACCTCAGCCTCCCAAGTAGCCAGGACCACAGGTGCGTATCACCACGCATGGCTATTTTTTTTTTTTTTGTTGTTGTTGTTGTTCGTTTTTGTAGAGACAGGGTTTTGCCACGTTGCCCAGGCTGGTTTCGAACTCCTGGGCTCAGGAGGTCCACCCGCCTTGGCCTCCAAAGGGCTGGGATTATAGGCATGAACTCTGTCATGCCCAGCCAAGAATTTATTTTCCTATCTTAACTGTGTGCAAAAATACTTAGGGTTTAAGGAGAGATTTTAATACGCATCTGAAAATTGGAAATATATTTGTGTTTTCTTCTTAGGCACAGGGAAAATATTTTTAAAAATAAACTTTACAAAGCTGTCACTGTCATTTTATAAGGCAGTTTTATTCAACTGGGCTACATTTTTAATCAGCAGGATTTAGAAATGAAACCATCTCTTTTTTCCTTCTTGGATTCTATTTTATGGAGTCAGCAAATGATTTGGGAGTTTGGACTTCTTAATGGCTGGAATGTTTGGGGCTAGAATTAGTTGAGGTGGAAGTGGAGGCTGATTGCTCCCTAGGAACATAATGGTTATAAGAGCATTTAGGTCACATCACACTGTACCCACTTAAATGATATGTCACTATCTCAGAGCCTCAATTTTCACATCTTTAAAATAGGAATCGTAATTGGTGGTTGTGAACTTTCCACAGTGTTTAATGCACTGAAACATTAATTGAATAAATGTTACTTTAATATTACTGATGTTGTATCTAATAGTGAGAGAGCTTTGTTTTCTGGGTTTATCTGGCCTACCTGTTAATGGAAATCAGTAATCGTTTTCCTTTTGATGGACTTCATTTTATGTCAGCTCACATTTTTTTTTTATGGTAGGTAACTGCGCTCAAAAATAACCAAACTCTGTTTCTTTTACTATAGGTCCGTATGTTTAATTTGCTTGTTCGGTGGGATTGATCCTTGTCTTCTAATAACTGAATTTGATAGATGAGGAAACAAACAAATGTATAAAATTTTCTAGGTCTTAGGTTGTGTCTAAAAAATTTTTATTTTGGGATTTATTTCTCCTGTTTACAAACATTTTAGCCTACTTTGGGGATAAAGGATTATTTGGTCTTCTGGATTTGGAAGCAATTAGCAGACAGCATGGAAGATGTGTGCCCTGGCTTGGATAAGAGATGGGACATCGTTCGGTCACCAGTTGGATGGCACAAGGCTCATCACAGATGAATCTGTAGCAGATTGGAGCTTGTACTAACTTCCGATAGAATGTATCAGAATAAATGTTTTTAACAATGTTATGTCTTGAATCTTTTTTGAATTGAACATGCTGAGTTATCAGGTAAAAATTAAGCTTTTTGGTACTTTTTCAAAACAGGGAATATATGTATGTACCTAGGGTGCTATTTAAACAAATAATTTTCCAAGTTAATTCCTGCCCATTCACCTAACATATGGATTACAGTTTCCCTTTGCAGTGAATCAGTAACTTTCTCTAGGATATTCCAAGGTAGCAAGAATACAGATAGTTTTCAGTTTGTGACAAACCAAGCCATTACTTTCTCCTCTGCATTCTGTTCTGACTGCAAGAAATAGGGGTCCTGGCAGCTCTATTGCTAGGGGATGGGAACGGCACTGGAGAGTTGTGTGTCTGATTTATTTGTAGGTTAAATGTGAGTCTAAAGTTTCCCTCAGTTGTGTTAGGAAACTAGAACTGCCTGGGCAAGAGCCCATGGAGAACTACATGGAATAGTTAGCACTGTTTTCTGGTAGAAGAAAAGGCAGCTAATTAATGGAAACTAGTTTTCAGTTCTAGATACTGGTTTCCTGGGACCTTCAGTTGTATTTGAATACTTTTATTACTTAGTTTTTTTCCATTCTTCTAACAAAATAGTGTTATTTACTATGTTTAGCCATTGTTACTGATACAAGAAAGTAGAACCTAAAACAATATAAGACAGTTTGGAAAGAGCCTATTGGGTTGAATATTTTAAGCATCCAGTGTTTAGGAATGATCATGAATATAATCCCTCTCGGGTGTTGGGAGCTGTCATCACCAGAAAGTTCTTATTTCTAATGTAAAACCCTCTTAGCTATTTAAGCCTATTTCCTCAAGTCTTGTTACTTTTGCCCTGGAGATGTAGAAGACTATTGTGGTGGTTTATTGCATAAGGGGATTTTAAAGTGGAATTTTTGAGAGCTAACTGCAAAAAATCATTTTGGTAAGTACTTAATGTAATTGCTTCAGCATCTCTGAATCTAGTCATGTGTAATTTTGCTGAAAACTGAGCACAGTATTAAAATTCCATAGAATTGCTTAAGTTTGTGTCCCCCCGCCCCCCATCCTTTTTGCCAAGTGTGTTGTCAGGGAATTTTCATATTTTGTTTATGCATTTTTCTTCTGTTTCTCACTCGGGATTTCCAGAAATTGAGAAAGCTGTGGCAGGTATCTGTTTTGATAAAATAGTAATGTGGGCCGGGCGCGGTGGCTCAAGCCTGTAATCCCAGCACTTTGGGAGGCCGAGGTGGGTGGATCACGAAGTCAACAGATCGAGACCATCCTGGTCAACATGGTGAAATCCCGTCTCTACTAAAAATTACAAAAAATTAGCTGGGCATGGTGGCGCGTGCCTGTAATCCCAGCTACTCAGGAGGCTGAGGCAGGAGAATTGCCTGAACCCAGGAGGCAGAAGTTGCGGTGAGCCGAGATCGCGCCATTGCACTCCAGCCTGGGTAACAAGAACGAAACTCCATCTCAAAAAAAAAAAAAAAAAAAAAAAATAGTAATGTGAATGGTAAACATAACTGGTTGTGTTCTTTTAAGGATTTTCTTTGTGAACCCCAAATATCTAAGACAGGTCTCAGTCAATTTAGAAAGTTTATTTTGCCAAGGTAAAGGACGCGCCCATGACAGTCTCAGGAAATCCTGAGGAGGTAAGCCCAAGGGGGTGGCGGTGGGGGTGGGGGGTTTCTTTTATACATTTCAGGGAGACATGAGACATCAGTATGTCTAAGATGTACATTGGTTTGGTTTGGTAAGGTGGGACAACTCAAAGTGGGGACTTCCAGGTTAGAAGTAGGTGAGAGACAAAAGGTTGCATTCTTCTGAATCCTTGATCATCCTGAATACGGAATTTAGTCTGGGTCATTGTGTTGTGCCTGAGTGTGTCAGGGAATGTGCCACACTCTGAGATTGAATTGTGAGTCCTTTATTATGCTGGTGACCAAGAGGTGGCTAACGCCCAGAATTCTCCCAGCCCCTAAGAAAAAGGTGGTCTGTTATACCCTAGTTTTAAAAGGGAGGGGAACCTAGCTGAAGCAAATTTTTCACAAAAGCAGAGTAAGCAAAAAGTTAAAAGATAAACTAGTACATGAGAAATAAAGCAGTGCCAGGTGTGAGGGGTAAAGCTGTCATGAAAGACAAATTTACAGATAATGGGGGCTCTGGGTGCTCGACAGCACCTCGATGCCCAGGCTCTGCTGGTACCACTTAATTTGGCCTCTTATCAACAAATGCATTCCTGGAGGTGCCCAGTGTCAGCCTGCCCCAACTACATACAATAGTTACACACTTAATAGTGGGAAAATAACTAAAATGAAGAAGCTAGGTTGGAGTCTGTCTGGCTCAAGAAGCTAACATAAAGCCTGAACAGCTTTTAGTTTGAGAAAGAGAGACTTAGTTTTAGCTGGGAAAAAACAGGTTATCACATTCCCCACTTGTGTTTCTGGGCATTCAAATCACTGATTCCTCAGTTGTAGCGAGGGGGTTATACTGGGTTCTAAGATACATAAGTTTGACAGAAGCTATGTGCCGTTTTACAAGATTAATAAACCAATTTAATAGGGCCCAAAATTTAACCCCAGCAAGAGGAGAAGAGGTCCTGCTAATCCAGTTATTAAAGTAGATAGCCGAGGGTTCCAGTTCAACATGCTCTGGTACCATGGGGTGTTATTTTCTCGTTCCCGTTGGTGTCTATCTAAATTTTCCTGAACCTTTTGAAGAGTATACTTTATGACTACAGACTGGTTAGCATAAAAACAACAGCTTTCCCCAAACGCTGCACATAAACCCCCTTGGGAGAGAAACACTAGGTCCAGGCCACGGCAGTTTTGAAGAACAACTTCAGCTAAGGAGTCTACTTGGACATGCAGTGTATTTATGGCTGATGGGAGATTTCTTAAATCAGCATCTACTTGTTGAGTTAGGGGCCCTAGTCCAGTTTCTCCTTGGACCAATGCTGCTGTGCCGATTGCTGCCGACCCAGCCACACTGAGGCCAGCCAAAAGGGGCACTAGGAGTGGAGCACCGTGGCGTACTCTGGGGCGCAGTTTGGGAGGGGCAATGAGAAGCTGTCCCTCTGGTCCACCGTACACATAAACTTGAAGCACATGAACTAGCATGCACAGGAGAGGTCCAGGTTCAGTCCTGCTAATGCAGTGGATGAGGCCTGAGGTGCAAGCTAGCCAAGTGTTATTTGGTGCCTGGTAGGAGACTCAAGTAGTTAGGGAAGTAAGCAGAGACTGATTACAGGTGGCAGGAGGCGTTTCCTGAAACATCCCCTAATGTAAAGAAGTAAGGATGAGCATGACATGAAAGAGGGCCAGTGTTCAACTTGACCTCAACTCCCAATCCAACATAATATGGAGGTTTGGCCTTCAGGCAAAACTAACAGTCTTGGGCCAGTTGATGCTGAGTAATATTAAGGAGGTGATGCACTCCCCTAAAGATGGACATTAAGCTGGGTTAGAGGTGTTAGGGTTGCAGCCGGAGTTGGGGAGCCTGGACTGGCGATAGGACAGTTGGGCCAATGGGGCTGACCTTATCTGGGTGTGGGCAGAACGTAGGGTCTCCTAAACCAGTTAAGGGACCAATGGGTTTAGGGGGGCTTCAGGGGATCAGGATCTTCTCCCGAATGGTAAACATAGTTCCAAGATCAAACCCTTCGATACAGAGTTGCAGTCCCCATGTCACACCATAGTACAGAGTTAGGGTTATGGACAGTTATAGTAATTGGATTATAGGTTCCCATAGTACATGGCCTAGGACGAGAGGTCCAAGCTATGGAAAGGGCTGGAGACCGAGTTGCCCCTCCCCCCCCGCCCAAGTAAGTAGCCAAGGTTACACATGACCAAAAAGGGCAGAAAACTGGTAACTGTCCCAGCAGGCAGTGTCAGGGTGGTCTCCAGGACAGAGGTAGAAATCTCCTTGGAATCCCTTTTTTGCACCCCTCGAGCTGCTGCATACAGTTTCACTTCCAGTGTGTCCGAGCCCTGCAATAAAGTCAATGATTCCTGCTCCTGCCCACAGGGGCAAACTTCACTGGTCCTTGAGGGATCAGCTGGGCTTTGGGGGAAAACCCATAAATTGATTGAAAAAGAAACTTCATTGTAGGTACTTTCTTTCCAGGTGGTGTTCGCAAGCACCTGTTGCAAAAGAAGTAAGGAGAAAAGAGTAGGAGGGGGCAGAGGGCTGAACGACCAGGAACAGACAAGAAAAGTAGACAAAAAGAACTAGTCTGATGGTTGCACCTGACTCAGGCAGTTTTAAGGGGCCTAACCTGGGCTTTGGGACCCATGTTTCTTGCTGTGACCTGTTGGCCTTCTTGATGCAGGAGTGATTAATCCAAGCAGGAATACTGTCCACCGTTAGGGCTGTGGGTGTAGTAAGGATGACAGTGTGAGGTCCTTTCTAAACAGGAATGAGACCTTCCTTCTGGAACTTTTTGACATACACCAGGTCACCTGAACAGAAAGGGTGGCAGGATACTGTCAGACCAGGAGCTGGATTAGGGTGTGCTTCCTAGACAAGTGGCTGGATAATATCTTGAACCTGTTGGAGAGACTGCAAGTACTGTAACACATTAGCTTGGGATATTTCTGCTAACTGGGTATCCCTCAATTTAGGCAAAACAGATGGGGCCCTCCCATACATGATCTCAGAAGGAGAGAATCCCACCTTGTAAGGGGTGCACCTGACCCTAAGAAGGGCTAAAGGAAGGAGACTTATTCAATTTTCACCGGTCTCCAGGATTAATTGGGTAAGAGTACTTTTTATTTATTTATTTATTTTTAAAGATGGGGTTTCACCATGTTGGTCAGGCTGGTCTTGAACTCCCAACCTCAGGCCTTCCACCTGCCTTGGCCTCTAAAGTGCTTGAATTACAGGTGTGAGCCACTGTGCATGGCCGATAAGAGTACTTTTTAGGGTATGATTCATGTGTTCTACCTGTCCAGAGCTCTGGGGTTGGTAGGCACAATGGAGTTTCCACTGAATATTTAATGCCTTGCTGACTGACTGAGC